TTTTCAAAATCTTTAATGGGCAAGGATGTCACCGGAGAACCCGTATCTATCAAAAAAGAAAAATTAAGATTATTAAGTTGCATATTAATCATAAAATCATTAATAAAATTTATCTTATTCCTTGGCCTCAAATTATATGACGTTTGTATAATTTCTTGTTTTTTGAAATTGTTGTTGTTATCGTTGTAGTTGTTGTTTTTGTTGTTGTTGTTGTAGGTCCTACCATTATGCTTGTTTTCATTCCATGTCGTATAGCATTGTGCACCATATCTGTCATCTTTTCTCCATGTATCTTTTTCAATGAAGGACTTTTTATTATTAATCTCCAATGATTGGCATTTGACAACAATCTCCTCAATGATAATCAAGTCTGTCGTGTTTTCTTCTATCAATCTTGTTTTTAATCTCTCATTGTGACAATTAATAATGAATTGAACCGCTATCAATTCTGAATTAAGACCAGATCCGCACGCCTTCAGCCTGTCCAGATATTCTCTGGATGACTCTAATCTATCTGGTTTAGAACTAAAAACTTCCATTATACGTGTAATTTTATTTTTTTCAACCTTTTTTTGTATCAAATCCTTCATTTGTTCATAAGATAAATTATCAATCGAATCCATTATACTCACCGCCAAATCTCTATTAATTGTCTCGAACAGTTTATATTTCTTCGTAGGTTCATCAGTTATGTTTTCGGCAATAAATTTTAGATCAAGGGTTTTGAGTAAGACTTTTATGTTATTATTACCATCCTCCACCATATTGGACAAGAATAAAATTGTTGAATTTGTGAATAGCTTTATTTGCAAGTATTATTGGACAAGAATAAAATTGTTGAATTTGTGAATAGCTTTATTTGCAAGTATTAATTCCGAATAATTTATTATATAAAAATCGCATCGAATATAAAAAAAACAAGTGATACAATATTAAACGTTTTCATAAAAAATATCTATATATATCTCTATCGTAAATCAATTTATGGTAAATAAATTGTGGCTAAAGGCTTCATATATAAAAATACAATAATTATTACATGTAAAAAGTAATATCGATTAAATATATTAAGAAATTACATTAAGAAATAATAGCGTACAAAAGCGTAAATGCAACAATAGAGAGCATAGAGAGAGAAGAATATCTGAGGAGAATGCAAAGAATTATTATATTACAATATGTAGAAGATGGAAAACTATTAGTGTTATTAAACGGCTCGATATTTGGAAAAGACTAAATCAATATTTTAGCCATGGATATTATGCAAGCCTAAAGATTTTGCACCCAAAAAAGTTTGGACATCTATTAAGGATATCTTGAGATTAGCGTCATATAGTTTAGTGAAAATATTGGTTAGCATTTTTAAAGAGAAATAAAAATTAAGTGAATATTAATAAATAAAAATATAAGGGAAAAAAAATCATAAGAAGTTAAAATATTATTATGTAGAATGAAAAGGGGGAAAGAATTATAAAAAAATCATAAAAAGTTAAAATATTGTTATGTAGAATGAAAAGGGGGAAAGAATTATATAAATTAACATAAAAATAGAGAAGTGAAGAAAAATGACAGGTACAATAAATAAATTATATATAAAAAACAAAAAAATGATCAAAAATGAAAAGAAAAATGACTTAAAGATACTAGATTAGAAATAAAAAGGAAAAATAAAAAGATAAAAAATTTTAAAAAAAATTGACAAGAAATAAAATATTTTAACTTTTTTTAAATATTTAAAAAAATAACAATTTTCCTTTTTTGACTGGGAATTTTACTTTTCTGATTGACACTATTCCTTTTGCTTTGGGACTTTCTCTTGTGGTTGACACTTTCACTTTTTTGATACCTGTTCCTTTTTTGATCGGACATTTTCCTAAGCCTTTCGAACTTTTCCTTTATACTTTTCATTTTTTGATTGTATGTACCTTTTCCTTTTTTGTTTGACATTTTTCCTTTTTTAATCGGACCATTTTCAAATTTCTAGTCAAATAATAATTATGAAACTTCTTGTCCACAGGGAAAAAGAAATTGCAACCTTGTCCAACGAGATATAGTCTCCGCCATCAAGCAGTAACAGCTTTTATGGAGTTAGAAGAGCCAATTATTTGCTATTACTGAAATATCACAATGGACTGAAAGAAATATTTCCTCAGAAGCCAGAAAGTTATTGGATTCAATACTTATTCCAAATTTTATTTCTCATTAGAATGTATTATTTAATTATACAACTATTTTATATATTACTTTTCAAAAACATGACATTGACTTGATTAAGAAGATGAGAATAGTGAATAGCATTTTATTAGAACTCAAGGAAATTAAAGAATTTCATAATTTATATGTTATTGTTGGATCAAAAGCAGAGCTATACGTGTTTTGTCTCCCTCGACTTGTTGCAAGGCAAGCTCATCGTTAAAACATTAATATAGGAGGAGTAGAAGAGTTATCTAAGATACAGATACATTTATAACCCAATTAATTTTTAATTCATCATGCAGCACTTACCAATTTGCAAATATTACTTCTACAAAAGTCTTCCCAACCTTTTTCAGATGGTGATAGAAAAAAAAATATTTGTTAGATTTATATCATGAAGATGTTAAAGTATCTTATGATACCTTATTAGCTGAATAACTATATTTATAAGATTAACTATGGTTGATATAGTCCCAAAAAAATGCTATGGATGCTCTGCATTATTTCAAACATATTTTAGATTATATTCCCAATGTATTAAAAGGGTTTATATATATTAGCAACTTTTCCCAGTAAACTAATGAGAGAACATTCCCTTTTTTAAGAAGAATAACAGATCCCTGCAGAAGTACCATTTGCAAGGACCGGTCCGGATTTTTTTTGAAAATTTTTACGGCCCGGCCCGGGTTTTTTTAAAAGGCCAGGCTTTTTTTTAAATAAAATTTTCAGGGTCGGCCCTGATTTTTTTAAAATAAATTATATTTATTTTTGATTTTTATAGCTAATAATAACAATTTAAAATGTAGGCTTTTTTAAAATATAGAGCCCGGCCTGGGTGTTTTTTTTAAATAATTCAGGCCCAGCCCGGGTGTTTTTTTAAAAAAATGTGGGCCCGGCCCGGGTATATTTAAAAAGGTTAAAATACGGTCCAGCCCGAAGGCCGGGCTTGCAGGTCTTTGAAAAACATCCAAGAAGTACAACTTCTGAAAGTAGATTGAAAGGTTTGTATCTTTTAATATTCATAGGCATTTGGCGACAAGCAAGGATGGGATTATTGAAAAATTAGCTCGATCCCAACAAAAATTAGATTTTACAAATATATAACATACAAAATGCAATTATTCCTAAGAAACTTTTTGTGTATTAATTTATATTTCCAACTTTAAATTTTTTATACTTTATATATAAATTTTAAAGGCTCGAAATTCAAATTTTTGGGTCATTTAAGTGTATCTTATATTTTACACATTTATTTTATAGTTTTTCATATACCGCCAGTTATATCCGTTTTTTAATTCACATTATTTTATAGTTTTTATATGCCAGTTTATACTTATAATTTTTTTTATAATTCACATTAATTTAAAATTGTGTATTAGAAATAGTTATTAGTCATAATAAATTTATGCTTGATATTTTTAAAAAACAATAATATTTCTTAAAAAATTTTATTACCCCCCCCTCCTTAGACCAAATTCCTGGGTACACGCCTGACTAGTTAATTTATCAAATGCCATAATTTCATATATGTGACCTAATATAATTTTAAATTAAGAGATAATATGTACCAAATTGTTATAATAGGGTTAGGTAGTACATGTGAAATATGAAATGAGTTTTTCAATATTGATCTTAATTAAAGGTTATTTGAAGTCGTATGTGAGCCAAAAATGGTTATCTTTATTTGAAAATGATTTCTATTGAAAATGTTATTTAAAAAGATATAGAAATAATAACAAATGATTTAATTTAAAAAAAAGCAAATTTAAATGCAAAATCAATTTTTTCAAAACTTAAATGATATTGGATATTATATTATATTATATATGGAGTTTCCCATTCAAAAAAAAGATAAGTCTCGATAAAAAAAGAAAATTCATGATCAAAAACTAAAAGGCCCAATCATAAAATGAAAAGTGTTAACGAAAATGAAAGATCCTATCGAAAGAGGAAAAGTTTGATCAAAAAAGAGAAAGTTCCACAAGATAAGGTGTTAATAAAAGATGTAAAATTCTCATTAAATAAGGAAAATCGTTATTTATTATATATTTTTTTAAAAAATTGATTTTTATAGGAAAAACCGAAAATTAAAGAAAAGCCAAAAATATGACATTTCAGGATTATTAAATAAAACCACAACAAAAACAATTTAAAAAAAATATGATAAATAATGATATTCCATTTTTTTGAATGAAATTTTCTTTTTCTGATTGAATTTATTCTCTTTTTTGTGTGATTTTTCTATTTTGATTGGACCTTTTACTTTTTTTGGTAGAACATTTTCCTTTTCAATCGAAATTTTTACTTTTTTTGATTGGCCTTTTTCCTTCCTTAATCGGACTTTTCCTTTTTTGATCTTTACTTTTCCTTGGGAACTTTCCTAAGTTATTTTTTCGTACTTTTCATTTTTTGATTGGACCTTTTCCTTTTTTGATTACTTTTGCATTTTTGATTATCTTTCCTTTTTTGATTACCTTTCCATTTTTGATTACCTTTCCTTTTTGATTAACTTTCCTTTTTTGATCGGAACATTTTTTGAATGGGAAATCTTGGCATATATATTTCCTAAATAGTAAATGGAATTAGCACATTTATTGCTTTTTGCAGAGGAACAGCAAATTAGTATGTGGTTTGGCACCTTAACCAGAGTTGTCACTGTGATTATAAAAAATTTTAAAGTTTTTATAACTGATCCAAATATTAAGAAGTTTTTAACTTTTGTAAAACTTTTTTAAATATCAATTTTTAACATACTTTTTATTCAAAAAATGTTTTTAAAACGTTACTTTATAAATCGTGTGAAGTCGAAATACTCCTGCTCTTTGGTCCGACTTGCACATATTAGGCTGGTTTCTGAGGGGCGAAAAATCGCAGGCTGAATTTGAAAAGGAAGCATTATCTCTCTGTTTACAAGCTATCGAAGTCGATAAAGGAAGAGCGTGGGAAATGTTGGACCTTCCTACCTGCCCTTGCATAGCCTGGCAAGCCAATAGAGACCTCCTCTCTTTTGAAAGAGATCCCATTTGCACGATTAGCAACTTTTATAATCCTCTTCAACCCGATAAAATGGGATGCCCGGCCAAAGGGAATGACACCTGGTCGTGTTATAGATCAATATTTCCAAGGTATATTATTTCCACATTGTTGTATAATATTAAATTTACCCCCTTGAGTTAAGCTGACACTTCTATGGTAGGAGGAAGGTCACAGGATTGTCGTTGAAATAAAATAGAATAGAGGAAACAGGGGTGGAAGGTAGTAAAGATATGGATTTTCTAATTTTGATTTTCATTTACTTTTTTTGCTAATTTTGATTATTTTGATTTTCTTCTTTCTCTAAAAATATTTAAGTGAATAGGGGGTTAGGGGGTAGGAGGGTTTAATTTTTTAGAGTTAATATCGTTATTTATTGGGGGTGGGTGGCATGTTATAGGAAAGGGTTTAACTGATGCGTTTAAGCTATTGAGCGTTTCAGGATTAGTTGCCATTAATTTTCAAATATCGCTTAAACGCTTCAATTAGGCCCTAGCCGTAATTGCCACTAGATCGCAAAAATAATAAATTAAATAATTCTTTTCAAAAATGAAATTTAATATATTTAAATTATTTATCAAATATGTATATAAGTTCAAACGGCGCTGGCCAACAATGTTGCTACAAATCAAACGGAGAGTTAATGCTAAATCAAAGAGGTGAAACAGGGGCCGGCACTATAAAATTAGCTCATCCTAAAGGAACTATCGAAATATCGCCTTATGACCCCCGGAGATCTCAAGAACAGCAAACAAAATCAATTAACAGCGGGAAAAAAGCTTTTTATATTCCGATTGTTTCGAATTTGATGATTGATGAGTTCCCTGCTATGGCATGTTGTCACTGGACTAAATCTAGCATGTGCAAGGAATTTTTGAATAGACGTCCTTCTGATGATTGTCACGGTTATGAACCACCTAGAATAGGTATGTTTTATTTAAACGTTTTCAAATTATATAATATAGCATTTTAACACGCACTTATGCAGCCGGGAAGGGGGCAGAGGCAGAGAGACATGCCACCCCCCCCCCTACCTTCCCAAATCAAAAAATTTAGATACCGGCAAAAATATTTTTACAAATATTACTGTTTTATGATTAGAAATTTATATTTTATAATAATCATTCGTACCTCCAATCGCATTTATATTCCAATTTACATTTATTTATCATATTCGCAACAGAAATAAATACGCTACTAATTTATCTATAAATTGATATCTTGTTTCAAATTTTCCTTTTTATCAACTATTTTAAAATTCCGAACAAATCATTTGAAAGTTTTTCGCTGCAAAACTAAGGTAGAATATATCAAAAAAGTGACATCGACTTGATTGAGACCTGAGAAAGACTGAAAGCATTATATTGGTACTTAAGAAAATTGGGCAAATGTAGACTACGAATTTCATGAATTTCATGTCATTATTAAGTCAAAAGCGGAGTTCAATGAATTTAATATTTCCTTACCTCGACCAAGCCAAGCCCATAGTTCCAATATTAATATAGGGTTAGGCGAAGAATACTAATAAATTATCCCCCTTTTAGACATTTTTATAACTCAAATGAATAAAAGGTTCTTGATTATCCAGGCAGTAGGGGAGACTGGGGTTAGGTGAACCGATTTTTACAAAATTGTTTATAGCTCCTGGTTTTTTTTAGATAATATAAAAAGCAATATATGATTGGACCTAAAACTATACTCTATAAAGGTGCCTTATAAAAAAATTCTAGAATATAATCATTTTTTTGAAATTTTATTTTTTGTAAAAGTCGTAAATTTGCCCAACAAGCCCCAATAGCGGGGTGAGGCAAACCACTTCAAGGGGCTTCCTAAACCAATGGTTTTTTTAGGCCATAATAAATTGAAATGTATTTTTATTTATTAATAATGATACATATACTATAATTTTATTCTTTTATTGTTAAAAATATCATAATACATATAAATTGAAGCTAATTATATATAAAAATTGAAACTTAATTTTGGTTAATTTAATACACATTTTGGACATATAAAAAACCATTCGTGGCACATTCTGCACTGGTACCACTCTTCACCATTATGATGTTTGATATATTCCAGCTTACAACAAACACAAATATCTTTGTGAATAATTTTTTTCACTATTTTTCTCTTGTTAATATTTTCTTTTTCCATTATTTTCTTTTCTTTCTCAATTAATTTCTTTTTATAAGGAGATGATGTAAATATCTCTGCTCTCCTTTTTACTCTCTTGACTCTTTCCTTTTTGGGATGAGGCAAAGATATTGATAAATTGCACGATGGTCCAGGAATATTATCTAAATGAACATAAGACGTAGATGGAGTATCATTACATATATCTAAGTTTCTATTAGTATTTAAAATATCTTTTAATACCAAAGATACTGAGCTTGATTCTAATAATGGGCTTTTTGGAAGTTCACATATAGAATCTCCATAAACTGAGGCCACATAATCTTCTTTAATATATCTGTATTCAGTGGATATATTCCACATGCTTTAAAACCATTTGATATATTGAGAGGTGATGCTGCTAAAGGCAAGACATCCTTAATAACTGATGGAATATCATAAATTGTAAATAATTTTCCTGGATGGCTACGCATCCAGGAATCAAGTGCATTATTGTAATATTTTTTGAGAGGCCCAAAAACAGACCGATCAAGAGGCTGTAATTTATGGGTGCAATGGGGTGGCAAAGATAATAGAATTATTCCCGTATCTATACAAAATTTGACAGCTGAATAGGAGTGGTGTGATATATGATTGTCGAGGATTAATAAAACTTTGGACTTTGGAGTACACCGAGTGTGTTTAGATAAATGCTTCAAAAAAATAATAAAATCCTCCTCTTGCATCCATCCAGAACCATTTGATACCCCTATAGAGCCAGATGGACCATCTCTAACAAAATAGTCATAATTTTTTTCTGGGAAAAAGAAACATTGGAGGAATTGTATGACCAATTGCATTTACAGCAAGAGCTAATGTTATTAAGGTACCCCTTTCTGCGGAAGTAATAGATCCTACCTGTTTTTGACCCTTTTGTGCAATAATCTTGGATGGGGTTTGAACTGTGGTAAGTCCAGTTTCATCCATGTTGTAAATCGCCATACATTCTAATTTATGTTCATCTAATATTCCTAAATATTAAATGTAAACATTTACTTAACAAATCATTTAATAAACTTTTATATAAATCAAAAAAGTATAGAACATTTTCTTCATTAAATCCAGTTGCCCTAGCCATACTTGTAGCTTCAGGGGATCTTAAGGAGAGAGTAGGATTTCTTGACATAAATCCTAAATACCAGTCATGGCCAGCCATTGAATGGTCCTTCCAAGATTTAGGAAATTTTTTCTTCATATTTACTGCCATTTGGTTGGCTAATATTTTTATCTAAAAAACAATATAAAATAATGAAGAATAAACTATACCTTTTTAATTGAAAGGCCATAAAAAATTTGGCTAGATTGAATCAGATATTTAGTTATATCTCCCTCTTCTTCTTCTGTGAATATCCTCTTTTTATTATTTTGTCCTACACTAGTAAGTATGTCACTTTCTTGATATCTCTTATAATATCTCATAAAGTTTGATCTAGGAATACCTAAAATAAAAATGTCAAGTAAAATATATAATTATTTAATTATAAGTTTAACATTTAAGAACATAAAATTTAAAAATGATAATCTCTTTACCATTACCATTTAGATTTTATTAGGATATTCTCTATTATTAAATATTGCTAAAATTTGATTTTAATGTTTAAGAATTACATAAAATTAATACAATAATACTATACTTCATCTAAATTGTAATCAATCTAAAATATAAGATCATTTATAAATTACATTTAATAAAAATATTTACATAATTTTTATTATTAATATTGCTAAAAATTGATTTTATTGTTTAAGAATTACATAAAATTAATACAATAATACTATATTTCATCTAAATTGTAATCAATCTAAAATATAAGATCATTTATAAATTACATTTAATAAAAATATTTACATAATTTCTATTATTAAATATTACTAAAAATTGATTATATTGTTTAAAAATTACATAAAATTATTGTGATTATATCTTAAAAATAAGACAGATAATGTAGATAAATTTACCTGTAAGTTGGCTAGTCTTCCTTGCATAGGCGGACTGGCGACGCTACGGCCTCGTGGGCATTTTTTTTATAGCGGCATCATTTTTATGGGGGCTTCGCCCCCATACTCCTAATTTTGTTTAGCCCGGCCTTCGGCCGGGTTACCTTAAATGGCTTCTGAATTATATGATTTTTATAACTTCTTATTTTTGAAAATAGGTACAAACGATGTACATTTAAAAAAAAAAAGAATAATGACATGATACTCATATATATTTTATTTCATAAAATTGCACATATAAGATCATATTTATTGCACATATATTTTATATTAGATATAAAACAATAATGCACTATAAAATTAAATCATACATCACATGTTAATTATAAAATAATATATAATACTCAATATATAAAATCAATTAATTTCACATAAAAAATTATTGCAATTATACAATATTGCACAGAAAATAAAATTGCTACCGCCGATCATATTGTAAATAGATATAAATAAGATTTAAATAAAAGAATTAATATAAATTTTTAAGTTAATAAATCTCTCATTAACTTTGAACCTTTGCACAAATAAACAAGAATATCTTTTAGTTCAATCTGCGCTAAAAGTTCCCGTTCAACTGACATCATTAAAAATGCTTCTAAATTTTCTTGTCCTATATTTGGTCTCAGCCTATTTTTTATAATTTTTAATTTACTAAATGTTCTCTCACTATTGACTTGCGTAAATGATAAAGTTAAAATGTATTCATATGCTAAAAATAAATTAGTGTAAGCACTTGTATGCATATTGTATCTTTTAATAATTTCGTACACACATATTAAACACTTGTTACATCTATTATCACATTTTGAGTTATTATCATTTTGTAATATTTCATCTTCTTCATATGAATCCTCACTTGTACATACGATATCATTGTCCGTTTCATTTAATTCTTCTACTAAATCTTTGAATACACTGGCAAATGAACACAATTCGTTACGTAATTTAACACTCGATATATTTGCCAATTGTGCCAGTTTTTCTAAGGCCTTTTCAGAAATACCTTTACTATTTATACCCTCAAAATGCCTTGGATGCAAATATTGCACATTCAAAATAAGCTCTTTATTCGCAGAAAACTTTCCGACAAGCTGTTTATAATTTGATCAATTATAGGACGAAATACTTCGACCCTATGAAGGTCAATCGATTCTTGAGGACTTTCATCTTGGCCTTCGTCACTATATATTCTCTTCACTCGTCCTATTCTATTTTTTGGCTGAGCAGTTTGTACCCAGATACTCTCTGGGAGCTTTAAATATGAAAGTGTTCCATTTAAATTAGAAGCCATTTTGTTGCTTTATTTTTAATTGAAGTAATAGTTATAGATGGCACAGAAGACTTGGCATCTTCTATCATTTTCCACGCTGATAAAATATCTAAATTCTTAGTTTGAAGATATAATGACAATGGCCCCATTATTTCAAAAATTTCTAAATATATTATAGAAGTACTTAGAGTCTTAAATTTACATAAATTATCAATCAAAGACTGTGCTTCTGGTGAGGGTTTTGCCTCAAATGATTTATTATCAATTATAAATTGTAAAGCAATTATTGAAAGTAGGCTCTCTTTGCCATATATCCATCTAAGGGCTTTTTCATGTGGCCACCACCTTGTCTCTCCTATTTTTTGCAGTCTTCTCAACTTATTTTGGCCAGATGAGTTATTCTGTTTCACCCAAGCATCCATCCTTTTATATGATTCACCAAAGAAAGTTGCTAGTCTGTTCAACAATCCAAATAAATTTTTGCCTTCAATATTATTGCATGAATCACATATACATAGATTTTATATGTGACTATAACACCAAATATACAAACTACTTGGAGCCTCTTGTCTAATAAGAGCTAGCAACCCAACTAATTCACCCCGCATATTTGCCGCACCATCAAATGATTCTCCAATTATATTTCTCATTTGAATTCCATGTTTTAAAAAGCATTCACTCAAGATATCAAAAAATCCTTTTCCAGAAGAGTTTGTAACTTTTGTAAGTGCAAAGAGCCTTTCTGTTATTTTGCCATTATATATGTATCGTAGGCAAATAGTTGCTTTATCATAAACACTAATATCTTGAGTACTATCCATTTGCAAACTAAAACGTTTGTTACCAATCTCCTTTTTTATTAAATTCCTGATCTGATCAAGAACAACATTTATAACTTTGTTAACAGTTGTTTTCGACAACAAGGTTATGAGAGAACCTCTTCCCTTTGATTTTAATTTTTAAGAGAGTTTATGCTTTTCTTTTCTACGTTTGCTCTTTAAAATAGCCTTTTCTAAATGATCTCTTAATATTTGATCATTTTTTGATATAATACGAATCATTTCCAGGAAATTCCCATGATTCAAATTTTCATTTTCAAAGTGGTTAAGTGTTTCAGTAACATTTGATCCTCTATAG